CAAGGGTCGCCCAGAGCCGGCGAGGGTCGGCCAGCCACCCTCGCCAGCCCTAATTTCAAACCTAGAAAAAAAAACAGAGAAAAGGAAAAAAAAAGCATAAAAAATCATAAATTTATTAAAATATTATTTAAAAATGTCCACGTAGCCGTCCGGCATCCACGTCAGCGATTTCCGGCCAAAATTGGCCGGATGGACTTAATTGGCAAGAAATGAAAAGGTTTAGGACTCAACTGGCAAGAAATGAAAAGGTTTAGAACTCAACTGGCAAAGTTGAAAGATTTAGAACTGAATTGGCTAAAGTGCAATAGGTTTAGGACTGTTTGGACAATTTTCCCTATTATTAGATGAACAAAATTTGTTTAACTTAGAAGAGAATCACAAGAAAAAAAAAGGAAGCAACAATGAGTTATCTTCCAAGTCATTTGTGAAATCGTTGACCTTTATTAGGACGAAATTACTCAATCACTTCTAAACTTATTGTACGGATGTCAATTCGATCATAAACTTTTCAATATTGCCAGTTTAGTCCTAAACCTTCATGTAAAATTCCAATATAATTCTTCTAGTCAATTTTCGCCAGAAATCGCGATACGGTAATCCAGTCATCTTCGGCCGTTTTATGTGGCACACCGTCACATCAACAATTTCCGGCAAAATTTGGCCCCAGTAGGACTGCATCGAAATTTTGCGCAAAGGTTCGGGACTCAATTAGCAATATTATAAAGTTCAAGACCGAATTGGCATCACCCGTAGAATAGGTTTAAGGTTGATTGGACAATTTCTCCTCCTTTATCAGCATGAAATGAGACACTCTCACCAGAGGAAGAGATAATAATACCAAACAAGTTAGATACAAAATATCAACACAATAAGAAAAATAAAGATGGACGCCAAAGTATATAGGCATATGCTCATTAAGCATCACCAAGCAAAGGATTCCCACTACTGGGCAAAAAAGTAAACATATCAAATTAGAAAGAAAAAGAAAATGTATGGAAGAGAGAGAGAGAGAGAGAGAGATTTGTATAAAGAATAAATATTTCTTTTTCGAATAATGAGTGTCCAGACTCGCACCATGACCCACGAATATGTTATTTATGCAAAATTGGAGATTAGGCATGAGCAAAAGTGTCTTCAATGTTGATGTAAACTTGAAAGGGTGTTTTAAAAGTCACATGGCGAGTGTTTTTTTTGTACCAGTGGGGGGAAATTTACTGAAAAATAGGTTATTTGCACGTTTAATAATAATGAAAGTAGAAAAATAATTACTTTAAACATGAAAGACTTTTGTCATAATTGTTCTTTCAAATGAAGATCGGAAGACACGAGGAGGGATAACTGCACAATCGGTCCTAACCCTATTACACGAAAGCCAATCGGGTCACATATTATTTAATTGAACCAAAGCAAATCATAAACCTTCGAGGGGAAATTACAATCGAGTCATCTCAGTTGAGTCTTGTAAGATTTATTTGACATGATAGCTCAATCACCCCTAGCTTTTTTTGCGTTTAAAGGCAATAGCACGACATGGATGAAAGGAGCCGTTTTTCTTTTGTTTTCTCTCTTTTTTTGTTTTTTTACTTCTCTTCTGTTCTTTTCCGGTGCACGAGTTACTGATCATAAATTCGCTGCTGGCTATGGTTGGGGATAATGTCTCTGTTAAAAAAAAATTCACCCACGTAGATAATAAGGAAAATTTGAACCTTATTTTGACCAAAACGGATAGTGTCGAAGGAAGGACAGTCACAGTCGATGACTCTCTCTTCACTCATTCCGTGCTTTCGCCTTTGTTTGAGTATGAGCTTTTCCAAATTTGATTAATTATAGAAGTATTTTAGCAATATGAGTCAGGTCGGGTATGGATCAAGTCGAGTATGATCACTAGATTTGTATTGCATGGAAATATATCAAAACGGGTTAAACGGATCAATTTGAATTAGACCATTTTCGATCTGACCAACTAGTTTGACAGATCTAATTTCTGTTGTGTCTTCCAAGTACACACCCAAAGACATATTGTTGGAAACAATTTAGAGTTGAGTCCTTGCCGCAACTCGAGCTCGTGCTTAATAAGCTCAAATGTTTCATTCTGCATATACATATATATATATATACATATATGTATATATATATATATGTATATATATATATATGTGTGTGTGTGTAGATTATGAATTTTTACAGATATTTGTGTCTATTCAATAGCTATTATTTTTTTTTTTGTAAAATAAAACAATACAAGTTCGTTTAGACTCGTGGGCCTGTGGAGTGGGCCTGTCGAGTACAGTTTTGGTGACCTCAAACTCTACTTGATAAGTAGCTGGAGCCTGGAGTGGCCTGAGGTCGTAGCACGAGGTTGAGGTTGAGCTCAGTACTTGAAATCAGGCGAGTCCATCTCGAATAATCAACTAGTTGAGCGGGTGCTAATGCGAGTAACTTGACTCGGTTTTACCCAACCGTGAGCATTTTCGGGGACAAGCCTGCTTTCATGCTATCAATATTGGGGTACCAAAAAGCATCGACTCACTGCTCTCGATTTGTCTCTCGAAATGACTTTCAAAAAAAAGATTCTATAGATAATATAAATTTTATATATGTTCAATCTTTAGTGGCGGTGGAGCCAACCGAGATGTATATCGCCCAACCTAACCAGACTCGGTCTTCCCAACCTATTTGACTCTTTGGCTACAGTTATTTAGGTAATACTCCTAAAAACGATCGAATCCCTTCCGGGAACAAACGAAACAAAGATATGGACCGGGGCAAATAGATAGTAGTAGATCCAGCCATTACTATCAAAGCTATTGGACGTTAATGGTATTGAACTTATGAGTGTTTGGACCATAACAATTTCGACGAGCAATCACTCACTTTTGACAATTACCCGATTTCACAAGATTGTAGAGAATTGAGGCAATCGTGTGTATTAGAAGTAGACAATAGAGCGGCTATCCCAGCCAAAACTCACCTAGACATTCTCAAACGCTGCTCTTTACTTTGGATATTATATGACAGTTGTGAAATGGAGTGATTCAAAATGTCTTATTGAAGCCCATCCTTTCAGCTTCAAAGTCACTTAAAGAGTGGCGTCTCTCATGTGGGAACCGCGGAAGAAGGCATATTCTATTGAACTTGGTTATAAACCCTAGATCAGATCGTTGACATTCGAGTGAGCTCTTCAATGGAGGCTGGTTTCGTGAAGAAGCAAAGCATTGTTGCCGGAAATATAGTACAATTACAATCAATGATGAAAACAGAGACGATGGCCCACACTCATACGAAGAAGAAGTCAACTAGTGCCAAATGCCATGTTAACTTAATGTTGTAACAATGGACATGAAGTGCATTTTGGCATGGTGGTGACCAGTTAACAATTGCCAAATCGTTTCTGAAAAAATGTTTGGCTAGATCATCTTCTGTTCAAACTTTTTGGGTAGTGATTAAAAGAGATAGATTGTACATATCAATTTGGATAATGCCTTAGATGCAATGTTACTGGGAAAAAGGGACGTCGATCCATCCCGCTAAAGATCCGAACTAGCCCCTCTCAAACGGGACAGGTACGGGTTTGAGGTTTGAGGTAGGGAAGAGCCTAACATGTCGACTGTCTAGTTGACTAAACTTCTATTGAGGACCCGTTTTTTTTTTTCCCTTAAAATTGAACGGTGAGAGGTACGAATGGCACTAGAATTCCACGAATTGCTTGAATAAGAGTTGACGTTACGATTGATGTGAATGTAGGGAAACCTGCTTGCTTGCCCACCAGTGTGGAGATCAAGCATACAAGCTTGCCTTGCATGGAGCATGAGGCAATTATAAGGTATCCCTAATGGTTGTAGGACAAATGATGAGGAGGAGAATGCTCCCCCTATCCCACTTCTGCCTTGTGAATTTACCAATACAATGTGAATGACCTACTCGTCTCAGGATTAAAGAAACCAGATTTTTGGTTCAATGCGCATTCTGGGAATATCGTCTAATTGTAATAACAAAAGAAATACTCAAAGAAAAGAGGCACTCGTGGAACCGATCATGAGCCTGACGAAAATGAAAGAGACCTGCACAAAAATGTCGTGATTTCAATGACATCGTTCATGGAAAATCAATGGAAGGTCGGTGAACTTATATCCCCTTTGCAAGATTTTCATCTGTCAGGACTCGAGGCCATAAACGCCGGCTTGAAGCTTTTACCTTGTACCGGGAATTTACTCTGTTCAACAAAGAAATTGATCTTCCGTGTCTTTATTTGGGTTTGACTTTTCATATCCGCATATGAATCAAACATCGGAATCATCGTCACCCATCATGGTACCCTACACAACTTCTAAGATTAGAGGAGGAAAATAAGTGCAATTTTATGTCCCTCCATCCGTGGGGCATAACGGGCCATAACTCCAGACGCACAACTCTTTAAAGATATTATCATCGACGAACGAGATCTACTCTCTTTCTGTCCGACAATGGCCAAGAAGGGAAAAAGCGATCAAAAACTCCAAATTATACTCACCGTGATACATTTGCTTTAAATTTTCTTCTGTGATACCAAAAAATCTCAAACTTATACCTGCGTGATACATTTACACTCCGTCAAGATTTCGACAACGAGTACCGTTAAAAACTTAGCTAAATGAATGCCGGAAGGCAAACGGTGTTGACATGGCCCCCAAGTGATGTTCATCGTGACACATTTTACCCTAAACTTTCTTCCGTGATACCAAAAATCTCAAACTTGTACCTATGTGATTTTGATCCGACGGAACCTTGATAAAGGGTACATATGTTATAGGCATAAGTTTGAAGTTTTTTATGTCACAAGAATAAATTTTGAGTAAATGTGTCACAATGGCATAATTTGTGATCTTTGGTTACTTTTTTTTTTCTTCTTTAATAAAAACATATATGAAATCAAATGAGCCCTTAATGGCACATGGGACCGACAGTTAAGAGCAAGGGACTTGAAGTGTCCCACACAGCCCAAGTTGGCTGGCTTGGTTTCTTTCTTTTCTTGGCCAAACGATGGAAAATTCAAAATACCCATCAGTCCCTTCACTGATTTCCTTAGAAAAGTCGCCTCCTTTCTGATCTGAATCTCCCCCCTCGATCCAAGTTCAACGAACCCACCAAATATTTTCCTTCTTCCCTTTCGTGACTCCACATATCACGGTGTTGACCAGAAAATCCAGATCGCTCTTGAGCAAAGCATAGAATATGTGATGGGAGTCGGACGAAAATGGTATTCGTATCTTTCCACGGATATATAAAATGGAGGGTGTTGTCTTTCTCATCCGTTCTCTCTCCCCACGTCTTATGATTTTCATTTTCCTGTTATTTTTCTTTCAATATTCAAGAAAAGGGGCATTGGATTTCACGGCAAGAAGTAGCTGACACTTTGCGTTGCGTCCCTCCGTTGCGTGGCGTCCTCCATCTCTCTACATTAACGTTGGAATTCGCATGAAGGGCACACACAGCAGAGAGACAGAGTCCCCCTCTCGACATTCTCCGAGGTCATCTCTCAAGAGGTTTGCCCCCGAAAACCCACATGATTTTCCTGTTTTATTGGCGAAAGATGGGGCCGGGTTTTGAGTATCATGGGCGTTCTGAGGAAATTGCGTTGGTGGGTTCTGTACTTCTGGTAGTTTATAGTTACATGAACTTGCCTTTGGCTGTTTCTCAGCTGATTTTGAGTCTGGATGTTGAATTTTGCGTTTGAAGCATGGATGATCGTATTAGGTTGCTTTAATTTTGTTGACTTGTTCGATCGCGCTGTTCATGCTTTCGGCGACTAATAGATTTCGGTTTCGGTATCTTTTTGCTTATGGATATCGAAAAAGGAGAAGTATATTTGGTCTTTAATGTATAGTGAAGTTTAATTGGTAATGACCATCCTTGTAGGAAGTGAAGTCCAATTGCCGAGATAATATCAAGAATTTCTGCATTTCTTGTAAATCCCCGGATGGAAGTGCCAGTTCTGTGACTCTATCACTCCATGTAATCCTTTGTTTGTCGTTGTGAATCATATGCAGTGCCACATGGAAATTCACAAAGTAGGCGAATCTCCTTAATGCTATGTGATTTTGTCTCTGATGCAGTGGCTGTTTGACCTTTGTGTACCACTTATCTTTTGAGCAGTGTTGTCTTAACCATATTATGTTTTGTGCAGATAAGGAAGTTGTCGACATCACGGTGCAGTGATTGATTTTTACAAAGGTTGAGCGGCAGTGACAGTAGTGATTCGAGGAGAGAGAAGAACATGTCTTCGGCAACTAAGGCTGATAAAAAGGCAGCTGTCGATGCAGCAGCATGGATGTTCAATATTGTCACCTCTGTAGGAATAATACTCGTCAATAAAGCTCTGATGGCTACGTATGGTTTCAGATTTGGTACGTCCTTGGTACGACTATGAGATGAGCATCATCATGGTTGCATCGAATCAATAATTTAGATAAGCTTGGGATTAACTTTTATTGAAGATCAACCTTTATCTTTTCTCTGATTACTCAATACTCTTGATTGTTGATTTGGAGAGTAACCATCTCAAAAACCTTCAATTCTGTTAGAGTGGTCATACGGCTTTCTGGCTTTTCGAGAGTATCTGTCTCATATTGTTTTCACATTTCCTGTTTTACATCTTTTTCCCCGCCTCCTCACCTAAATAACTGAGAGGACATCCCACAAGGTTGATCTGATGTCGCTTTCTATCCAACCTTGTCTGGCAATTGCTTAATGATTCTGCTCGAATAATTTTCTGCAAGACTAAGGCGACAAAGTTTAGCTGTTTCTGAAGCTGAATCGGTGTACTATATTGTCTTGCTCAGTTAGATCCTTATATGGGTCATCAACATGTCCTGCTTTTGTTTGAATGCAAGTTTGAGGATTTGGTTTTCCTTCATGATTAGCTTATTATGGGGACTAGCTCTTGGTCAACTCACTTGAGATAGTTTATGTTGCATATCATTGAAGGAAACTTGAAAGATGATGGTGGAGCCCCACGTTTGAATTTGAAATTCTTCTGATTTAGTCCTTTCCCCTGAAAGAAATTTCCTGTGATTGAATTCTTATATTTTGTGCACTTAGGTTGCAGATCTGTTGACTTTTAGTTCTTGTCTAGCTCTAAATGCCCAAAAAGTTCTTGACTAGTCATTTCAATGATAACTCCTGTGGAGCTTAACTGGTGTTACCATCTGTCAGTAAAGGTTAATAGCTCTTTGTTACTCGTTTTTTCTCAATATTTATCTTCGAACGGCATTTTCTTCTAATTTATTCAAGCAATGCCGGTCAATTTCTATCTTATATCAGCTACCTTTTTGTAGCAGTCAGATCATTGTTTATGATTATGTTAACTAAGGAACTTAATGGACATCCCAGGATGAACTTTTGCATTACCTCAATGGCTGTAATAAAACCTGAGGATGCAATCGGTAGATGGCTAGATTTAGCAATCTGAAAAAGAACTTTTTCTGCTCCTCACTTTAGCAGTCAGTTATGAAAATTTCTCACATCTTTCATGATAAACTGGACATGGATTCTGAAGGGTACTGTCAGGCCAAACGTTGTGATGAATTAGTTGAAGAACTCTTTGCACCTTTGGAAAAGGTTCCGCGCCTCATTTTGTTTCAAGTTTACCTTTTGAGGGCAAGGTTGCAGGGCTAGTTTCCCCCTTCTTTGTCTGATTCTTTAAATATGTATGCTCTCAAATTCTCATGGCATTGATTCATCACACACGAATGATTACCATCTCTATATGCACATTTTACTGGAATACTTTATTAATGAACAAATCTCTCTAATTTTTCTTGGCGACAGTTTTTAGATGAGACAAATGAACGCTCCTTTTCTGCAGAGAGCATAGAATGAATTAATTGTTGGGAATAATTTTCCTCACACTTGTAACCTCTTGTCCACTTGAGTATGCTAATGAGATTGATATTTGCTATTTTCACGATGTTATTTCCAATCAATTGAAATCACTTGCTCCGTGGCCTTAAGTTTGAGATTCCCTTAATGAAGGAAGAACTGAGAAACAAAGAGCAGGAGAAGCAAGCAAAATGATTCATGCTTAATTTATAGGAGTAATCTACCACAATTTCTTTGACTACTCTACACAAAGTACACTAACATTGTCGATATTGATTGGTATCTTGCAGCTACAACTTTAACCGGTCTTCATTTTGCCACAACAACCACGCTGACGCTTGTTTTTAGGTGGCTTGGTTATATTCAGCCCACGAATCTACCAGTCAGTGAGATCTTGAAATTTGTTTTGTTCGCCAACTTCTCCATTGTTGGAATGAACATCAGTCTGATGTGGAACTCTGTCGGATTTTACCAGGTAAGTCTTCGAGAATCGGTACCAGAATCCATTTGCTTTTCTGATGGTGGCGTTGACGAAAATTTAACTTAAAACTTGCATGCTTGTTTTCTCCTTTCAGATTGCAAAGCTGAGTATGATACCAGTGTCTTGTTTTCTCGAAGTTGTCTTGGACCAGGTGCGGTATTCGAGGGATACAAAGCTCAGCATTGCAGTCGTTCTCCTTGGGGTGGCGTTTTGTACCGTCACTGATGTCAGTGTCAACTTCAAGGGCTTTCTAGCTGCCTGTATAGCAGTCTGGAGCACCGCTCTGCAGCAATATGTGAGTAAAAGCCGACTTCACTGAAGCAATTCTTGTCACGTTGACACTTGACATTTAGTATGCTAATTCCAAATCTATTTTCATAGAGAATGATTTTCATACTCTTCATGTGCGTTTCCCAGACATGCCACCAAATCATATCACAGTAACTACATTACCAAAATTCAGTGTAATTTGCTGTTGCTACAGAGACAACTCCAACCATCCTTCATTACAAATTTCTGAAATTGAATAATTCCTAATACAATGTATTGTGACTGCAGTATGTTCACTATCTTCAAAGAAAGTATTCGATAGGATCGTTTAACCTACTGGGGCACACAGCTCCTGTGCAGGCAACTTCTCTGCTTATAGTAGGGCCCTTTCTCGACTATATGTTTACCGGTGAAAGAGTTGATGCCTACCACTACTCTACCACATCTCTTGTAAGTTTTCTATCTTTGTTCACTGTCTTTATTTAAATGACCTATTAGGCAGTGCAAGTTTTTAAAAGAAAATTATTTTGACATCCATGCGGTTGTGAATAAACTGGGCCGTCACTACCTACGTATTAAAAATGACTGAGACCTAGTCTAGGTCACCTAAAACAATTGATTCTGGCCCCCCTCCTCCCCTGGTTAAAAGATGTTTGGCACAAAGTTATGCTGAGGATGGCTCTCTCAAAATCTAATATGGATGGGTTCGTTGCCTGTAATTATTGTTTTGGCAATCTAAGCTCATTGTACGACCTCTTGATTGGTCAAGCCATGTTGAAGTCACTTTTAGAAATACCGGAGCTGGACGTATCTTTCTGCACTTCTACAGCTTTGAAATTGCAACTTCCCTTTTCTGGGCCAAATTCTAATGTGGTGATTGACTTTCCGCGATGTTCTTTGTCTGCACTCTCGTTGCTCTGTGTTTTTAATTGTCCGTCAAATTGATGCAATCTGAGAATATGCAACCGGTTGTGCAGTTGTAGAAGACAGCCTTAACATTTCGGTCATCCATATGACAGAGTTACTGGAGGAAAGGAAATGATTTCGTCAAAATGTGCATGAAAATGATTTTGTTACCTCTGCAAGGTGGTGTGTCTAATCCCATTTGTATGGAAACAAGCCTGCTAAAGATATCTAATTTAGTAACTTCATCACCAAGATCTAGAGCCCAGGGGTACACTTTTCTGGGAAAATTTTATGTTGGACACTCTCCTTTCGTCGTATACATGCAAGTGTGTCGGTTCTTATCTCTACATCTGATTGTATGCTAAACATGCTTAATCGTGCAGGCATTCTTGATCCTCTCTTGTACCATAGCAGTGGGAACCAACCTCAGCCAGTTCATCTGCATAGGCAGGTTCACAGCCGTATCTTTCCAAGTGATTGGCCACATGAAGACCATACTCGTCCTGACCTTAGGATTCATTTTCTTCGGTAAAGAGGGTCTCAATGTGCAAGTAATATTGGGCATGGTTGTTGCCGTGATAGGGATGGTTTGGTATGGTAACGCCTCCTCTAAACCAGGAGGAAAGGAACGTATTAGCTTCTCGAGTCAGAGCAGCAAAAGCCAGAAGCAGGAAAGCCTCCTAGAGTCTACCGAACAAGAAGATAAGGTCTAAATAGGGCTCAAAAGGTTGGTGAGACGTATACCAAGAATTCTCTCTTTCAAGGAGTTGTTATGCATCCGATTTACTGCAATTGGTAGGTCAAGATCATGAGTAACTTGGAAGAATTCTTATCAAGAGAAATAACGGGAATAATTCTTTTCACATGATAGTTCATTTTCTTGTCGTTAATTTTGTTTCGAGTTATAGAAGCCACTGAAATGAGCCAGTCGCAGCCCTAAATGTCGCTCTTATTTTCTTGTTCACTTTCCACACCAAGCCATTGCTGTATCGAACGAGGTTTGTACATTGAGCTGCCCTTACCATTTTGGTAACTATCATAGTGATTTGTTAATCTCTGTGAAGATAGATCATGCCGTTTGAGTCGGAGCCTTTTCTTGTTCGACTGTTATACCTGTGGAAAATGCCATAATAAACCGAATTCATCCTCTCTCTCTCTCTCTGTGAGATTGCATGGACCATCTCTTACAATGAACTTGTGGTTTGTTAGACAGTGGCACAGTTCTGTTAGGGTACATTATGAAAGAATGGACGTGTTCATCAAATTGGAGAAAGAGACTTGTTATGGGCCTTGGCACATTTTCTGAAGTGTGTTGGGGCCCTGCAATTTGACAAAAGTCTCTTGTGGAGTCACTGTCTCATGGGCACCCACTTCAGTGAAGTGGGGACTTGAGTTTCATGGAAAATGACCATCAATTGGACTAGTTCAATAGGTGGAGGGATGAAGTAATTGTGATGCTTTTCCAGATACTGCAGATGTGTAGGGCATATATTCAATTTGTCCTGAGATGTTCATTATGTTTCTTCTGTGAGGGCCATGGTGTTGTCATGTCATTGATCTGAAGCTATAACTTCTCTAACATGAAACCAAGTGAATGAGTGCAGGTTTTGCTCTGTGAGTCCAATTGAAGAACTTTTGCTGCTGTAATGTTATTGAGCAGTGAAAGCCTGCAGCAACTTTGCATGACTAACTATCAAGCAATTGCGTAACTATTACCTCAAACTACGTAGCTCATGACACATTTACCCCATATTAATTTTCGTCTCACAAAAAAAATCTAAATTAATATCCTTGATCCAAATCTATCCTCCATGAGCATGCGTACGTATGAACACGTAATAGATGGTTGCAAGACGGATCTGACATGAAGAATGACAGGTTTGGCAAGGAAAATGTTCAATGTAGTCCCTAAATTGTATGAAAATATTCAATGTTGTCAATCCATTAATCTAAGATCGGGACAACTTTGAACATTTTTATATAATCCAGAAACTAAATTGAACATGTACCAAAATTTCAGGGACAACATTGAGCAAATTAAAAGTTCAGGGATGAAGTTCAGGAACCACATTATACATTGAACCAAGTTCAAGGACCATTTGTGTCATTTTTCCTAATTTTTACTTGAAATCAAAGTTTTCAACTCTTAAATCTTTTAACTATAAAAAGTTCCTCATCAAAAAATTGGATTAATATCACAAAAAAATTACAAATCGGTACACCTGTGACAAATGGGGAGTACAACATAAAACCGATACATCAGTCAACTGTCGCGTGTCATTTAACGGAGCAATTCGACAGTAAAATTTAACGAAAACAAACTGAGGGTAAATTTATCACGGGTGTACTATTTTGGGGTTTTTCGCGGTATTAACCCAAAGTAGTATGGCCTAAACCCTAATAATCCTCGAGGGACGAGTACGCAATTTACTTTTACGATCCGGGGCAAAAACACGAAAAACAGAAAATGCAGGGGTGGAGGGGAGGAAAGAGAGAAAACCCAGTGCGCAAGTCACCTTGCTCTCAAGCTCAAGAGCTAAAAGAAAGCCCAACCAAAAAGTTCCCCCGACACTTCCCTTCTTCTTCTTTCTTCTTCCTTCCTCCGCCGTCGAAGAGCTCGCCGTCGAAGAGCTCACCGGAATCCGGCGAAGATGGAAGACGAAGAGGGATCCCAGCAGCCCCACCTCGTGCTCGCCCACCGCCTCTTCCTCCTCAAGCACCCCGCCGTCCCCGACATCGAGAAGGTCCGCCTCACCGACGACGTCCTCGCCTCCATTAAATCCGACGGTGATTCCTTCGATCCTCCCCCCTCTCTCCGGAAATCCTCTCCGAGCCTCCGTCGTCGGAGATCAGACATGGTTTCGCTGAATGGTTGTTTGGTGGTGTTGTTGCGCTTCTTCGTGCGTTTTTCAGATATGGTTTCGCTGTACGAAACCCTAGCGGCGGAGTCCCTTCTGGAGACGGACGCGGGGCTGCTGGACTCCATGCGCGCGCGCATCGAGGAGGAGATCAAGAAGCTCGACGAGAAGTGAGCTCCCGCGCCTGCCTTTTCCTTGTTAAAATTCGCAGCTTTTTACTGCCCATTTGGTTCAAGAACCCTGAGGTTCGGGTTTTTCTTTTTGCGATGGAGAATGTGTTGTCGTGTGGTTCTCTTGCAATGGATCTGGGAAAATCAATGAATCTGCTGTTGGGATACTTGCTTGAGTGTGGACCTTTTCAGGGAAATTCAGAGATTGATATTGCTAGATATATTTTCTGACTGATAAGAGTAATTTGCTCGGACCATGTTTTGGCACGCAGCGGTGTTTGGTTGTGCTGTGACCGGTAATGCAGCGCGCCTAACAATGCTGTCGAACAACGGTTTTACGGCTTTATCTTGTGGTTCTTTGGACTGAATTAATCCCCTATTTCACGCATTCTGTTGTTAGTTTGATGAGTTGCCATGATTGCCTTTGTGTAGGATAACTGATGCTGAAGAGAACTTGGGCGAAAGTGAAGTTAGGGAAGCTCACTTGGCCAAATCTTTGTATTTCATTCGTATCGGTGACAAGGTAAGTATTTGGCCGTTCTAGTTACCTGCCCCGTTACTTATGGAGTTTGCCGTTGGAATATAATTTCGGTATTATCGTTTTGCGAACATAAGGAAAAAGCATTAGAACAGCTCAAGGTAACAGAAAGTAAAACAGTGGCTGTCGGGCAGAAGATGGACTTGGTCTTCTATACGCTCCAGCTGGGTTTCTTCTACATGGATTTTGATCTCATTTCCAAAAGCATTGATAAAGCAAAGAAGTAGGTGCTAGTGGCATTCTTTGTCCTGTTAGGTTGTTAAACGTTAATATACTAATGAAATACTTGATTAAATTATCGCCAGCTTGTTTGAAGAGGGAGGTGATTGGGAAAGGAAAAACCGTTTGAAGGTGTACGAAGGATTGTATTGCATGTCGACTCGAAATTTCAAGCAGGCTGCCAGTTTATTCCTGGATTCCATCTCAACCTTCACAACTTATGAACTGTTCCCTTATGACACCTTTGTGTTCTACACTGTTCTTACCAGCATCATCTCATTGGATAGAGTTTCCTTGAAGCAGAAGGTAGATACTTTAACTATGATAAGTTCCCATTTTTACCCCTGGTGATATCTCTTTTATGACCGATTGGCACTCCAGAGTCAATATTGAAGGCACTTGTGCTATGGGCAGGTTGTGGATGCTCCAGAGATCTTGACGGTGATTGGAAAAGTACCCCACTTGTCGGAATTTTTGAACTCTCTGTATGATTGTCAATACAAATCTTTCTTTTCTGCTTTTGGTGAGTTACTTCACCATAGACTCTGACTTTGTTGCTACTTTTTGTCCTAAAAACATGTCGCTCGTTCTTGGTCAACTATGGTAAACTCTATCTACAGATTGTATAAGCCTTTATACTTGGCTCTGACGTAGATTACTGCAACTTATTGCTTCTCTCTTGATAGTGTGTGTCTGAAATTTGGATTGCCCATGCAACTCTCCTTAAAACTATTTTGATAGGACTCTTATTCGGTTTGGATGTTGAAATCTCACTGTTTTTTCTGTTTGTTCTGTAAAGCTGGTCTGACTGAGCAAATAAGATTGGATCGCTATCTGCACCCTCACTTCCGGTATTACATGAGGGAGGTCAGAACTGTTGTTTATTCCCAGTTCCTCGAATCCTATAAGAGTGTTACGATTGAAGCTATGGCAAGAGCTTTTGGAGTAACAGTTGATTTCATTGATGCGTAAGTTATCACAATTCTGATCATACTTTATATTAAGGTTTGGTCCTGCTGTCCTCTGGAAGTTGACTTTCATATGATGGAATTATTTGATGTTGTTAGTCTTTGAAATATGCGTTATTTATCTCTGAAATATTCTGCCCTAAATAGACATAAACCTTCTACAGAGAATTATCCCGCTTTATTGCCGCCGGAAAGCTTCACTGCAAGATAGACAAAGTTGCGGGTGTCCTGGAAACTAACAGACCAGATGCAAAGAATGCCCTTTACCAAGCTACCATAAAGCAAGGGGACTTCTTGTTAAATAGGATTCAGAAGCTTTCTCGTGTTATTGATCTGTAAAGTAAGCAGGCAGTTTTCTGATTTGGTGGTTATACCATTGATTTTCAAGTGCTAAAGCATTCAAAGCATCATTGTTGAACTTATCCATGAGTTTACTTTTCGAATCAACATTGGCTCTCTTTTTATATTGAGCTAAACTGGATGAATCTTTGATTTGACGTAGAGACACTGGACCAAATAAGAGAATTTGGTGCCATTGAGTGTTGCTGTAATGTATGGTGATAGAAAAGTTTCCCGATATAGCATCGACCAAGAGCATATCGGTAGACTATTTAGAAGTGGTTGTCTGGAGAAGATGTGGATTTGCATCCTAATGGTACTGTGGAAGGGGATTTCTTCAATTCATGCACTTGGAATTAGACACAGTTGTTGGTTGTATTCTAGATAATAATTGGTAATGAGCTTGATGCATGATAAACCAGGTAAATAGTGATGTTAGGCATTTTTTGGTGAGATTTGGTCCTAGACAGGAGAAAACAACAGCAAATACTGAGTGGTCAAATGCTTAGTTTAGATTCGGCAAATCTGTCTCTCTTTCATGGTAGTCTTGAGGGCCTCGCTTGTCTCTCGGAGTCTTATTCAATGCCCATGGATGACGTTATTTGTGTGCATTTGTGAGGATTCCTCCGGTCGAAAGTATAGCAATTAATTTTATATTGGGACGTGGGAGTGCTGATCGTCGAGGGAATACTGTACCTTGTTCTAATGTGTTGATGCGCTGCACCAGGAGTTTTAGGATTGTTTGTCTGCTCCCACTCTTGAAGGAGATGCATCACATTGCTTTTGCTGGCTAATGTCTTGTAACGATCGCCGGCCTGTCTTGTGCTGCCGGAGAGTGTACTGAACTGCTGGCCATTTGTCTCGGTACCTTCCTCAGTTTTTAACATCCCGTTGTAATGGAATGTTCCGGCCGTGAAAGGAAAGGTCATTTTCTGCTGGGCATCTTAAGAAAATTTATCTTCAGTCGGAAGCCACTTCGTTTTGGATTTTCCATGCTAATGAAAAGTTGTTTATTTACGTGCTTAACAGGGTTAGGGGACTCGAAGTCCAATTTAGACTTTCATTTAAAACGCTGCATCCAAGATTGTCCGTGCAATATGCCAAGACGGGTTTAGACGGGTTTTGTACGACTGGTTCAAACTATAGACATAATTTAACAAAAAACAAAAATCAATGTAAATAGTTCCACCGGCGCTCCACCGGCTGCCGGCTTGTTAGTCATCAGGGATGAGCATGGTGTCATGGATTGGTTTTGGAGTGATGCAACTTCCTTCAGATCATTTATCCCATATAAGTAAGCTTTGTCATGAAATTTATGACTAAATATATTAATGGTTGAGATTTGTCGAGACTCTCATATAAATATCACAGAGTAGAAGATCTTTGTCCGTTCAGTTAGATATTAGGCACCAGATGGGTGCCCTAGCACCCAAGGTTAAGTGCTTGACCTGGCAGCAGATGGCCGACGAGAAGCTATCGCACACAGAGGAGGCCTATAGAAGACGGTGTACTATACCCGATCTCCCGAATGCATCGATTCATTTTGCAAACAACCTTGAAATGAATCAAGTTGATCGGTTTTTGTCTTCGATTAGTTAGCTCAGTTTTCGTCTTGGATTAGCTAACTTGGTTGTCTCATGAAATGTACTTATGTATGTAAGCGTGCAAGCGAGAGCCAGTTTTTACGCTAGGACCTGATTCGATGATTCTTACAAAACTTCGCTCTTTCCCTGTGCTATCATGAGGTCCAAGGTTCGAACTGTTAATCTCTCAACTCTATGGGAAAAGAGATGCCGCAAAGTCAACCGCCGTCTCTCAACGCGTTGTGAGATTGTTACATGAGTTTTCTAGTTGCGACGCAGTCTACCTTGTTGCATGTGCGAAATATAGGAAGAGAACCAGAGCGAAAAACCCTAAAAGCAAAAGAGTACAGCGTTCACCAAATGAGAAAAGATTGGCACCAAAATGAAGCCAAAGTAAGAGCAGGACTTTTGTTCTGACTGATAACAGACGAGAAACCAAAAAAGTCCTAAACTTATTACATTTGTGTCAATTTAGTCCTAAACCTTTCAATTAGATCAATTTAATCCTAAACATTTTTACGATTTGCCAATTGAGTCCTAAACTTTTTAATTGTGCCAATTTAGTCATAAACTTTTTTATGATTTGGCAATTTAGTCCTTGCCAATTTTGATCGAAAATCATTAATGTGATGGTCTAGTCGGAGGTGGCCGTCTTATGCGGCATGGCCGGTGCCGACTTAGACAATTTTCGCAGTTTTTAATTTTTTAAATTTTTTCCTTTTTTCCGTTTCCTTTTCTTTTTTTCTTTTTTTCTTTTCTTATTTTTTCCACCCTTCCTCACCCAGCTCGTTCAAACCAGGTGAGTGCTCGCCTATGGCCAGCAAGGGTCAACCGGTGACCTTGCCGGCCTAGTGTTTGAAAAAATAAGAAAAGAAAAAAAAGAAAAAATCATAAAAATTTTAAAAAAAGTTGTAAAAGTTGTCTATGCCAAGGCCAACCATGCCACATAGGACAGCCGACACTGACTAGACCTCCACATCAGTGATTTCCGATCTAAATTGGCCAAAAGGTCTAAATTGGCCAATTTTCAAAAGGTTTAGAATTAAATTGGCAAATCGTCAAAATGTTTTAAACCAAATTGGCACAATTGAAAGGTTTAGGACTAAATTGGCCAAATTGAGAAATTTAGGACCGAATTAGTACGAATAAAATAGGTTTAGGAGTCATAACAAACCATTGGTGCGTTTTCAAGACAAAGGATGCCGCTTTACATGAGGCACCTTCATTGCATCAATAGACGCAGAATGATCAAAAGTTGTCAACCATCGTACTAATCCACCTTGTAGGCAATGACTCATTCTTATTAAGATATATTATGTGTGCTTGTGCACATAATTATTGGAAATTAAATGTAACTACATATCTACGGCTTTATGGACATAATAAACAGAAAATTATGGACATAACTTGGTTGTCTCATGAAATGCACGTATATATACAAATGTGCAATGTGGGAACCATTTTTTTTGCTAAGACTATGATTCGGTGATTGTAATAAAAGTTCGCTTTTTCCTCGTGCCATCATGAGGTCCAAAGTTCGAATCCTTGATCTATCACATCTATGGGAAAAGAGATGCCCTGAAGTCAAATGTCTCTCTCATCCTAGTGTTATTGAAATTTTTACAAGAATTTCTTGCGTTTCAAAAGAATCTATGTAATAGTATGTGCGAAATATAGGTAAGGAAGAGCAAACTACAGCTCTCAACAGATGTGATTAGTTGGATCGAAAAGGTAGGTGAAAAAACGAAGTCCGAGTAAAAGCAGAACTTTTGTTCCAACTCGTAACAGACCATTGATGCGTTTCCAAACAAATGCTACGGCTCTACGTAAGGCACCTTCATTGCAGTGATAGATGCCGAAAGATCGAAATTTGTCAACGTCATACTAATCCATCTTGTACATGAAGAATTATTTTTATTAAGATATACTATGTAACTGTCGTATAGAGGATACAATTACACATCAGCGATTTTCTGAACGTATATCGGTGTGCGTCCGGAAACTGGTTTTTTTCGCTGAGACGATGATTCCCTAATTGTTTCAAAACTTTGCGTTTTCCCCTTGGGATCCATGGTTCGAACCCTTGATCTCTCACCTCTATTTGCAAAAGAGATGCCTCGAAGTCAACCATCATCTCTCGAAGTGTCCTTTGCTGAAAGTTTTGTTGGAAATATGGGATAAATTGATGGGTGAATGAATGAGAAATTGATGCTCAAAGAACACCCTTGAGTTGGAAGTGGGAAGTGGAAAAAACACTAGTCCCACATTCGAAAAGAAAGAAGGCTATGTAGTGCTTTATATACAGTTACACTCATTTGAAGTGGTAACTATCATAGTACAAACACTATGCCTCGTGCGCAGGCGCAGAGGGGTGCAAATCTGACGCTCGACAAGCTGAAACTTGGGCGCGAGCGCACGTCCCATGTACACGATTGCAGGACCGAAAAGCGGGCCTCGCGACGAGCCCAATTTTGCCTTCTAATTTATTTTTCAACTCAAGCTGTTACAAATTTCAACTTGTAACGTATGATTAATAGCAGGTTAATGGCGTCGTTACGTAATTAATTATATAACGGCAAGCTGTTACGGAATTAATTATATAACGGCTAGCTGTTACGGAATTAATTATATAACGGCAAGCTGTTACGGAATTAATTATAACGGCAAGCTGTTACGGAATTAATTTTATAACGGCAGATTTAATCGGCCGTTATTCCCGATGCATATTAATTTTGTAACGACCGATTTAATCGGCCGTAATGATTCCCGAAATTCTCTCGCCTCTGTTATATTTTATCGAAATCATTCTTCCTCTGTTTAAATTTTTTTTTTCTCTGCATTTGCACTGTTTTTCAGTAGTGTTCATTTCTAGTTTGTTGAAGTTCGCCGGAAGCTTGGAAGTGCCGTGATCTCTTCTTTGCTGTCAACCGTTGTATCCTGGAAAACAGACGTTCACGAAACCTCAATCGTGTACTGGAGGGAACGAATCTGTTTTAAGGAAACTGTGTCGAACACAGGCCTCGGTATCCATTTGTATCGATTCCAATTCTGTTATTATAATTTTATTTCTTTACAATTCTAAATTGTTTGTAATATTTATACTAATGCCGATTTGAATTTGTGCAACAATCTTAAAACAGATTCATGCTTTTAGAAATTCAAATGGCTACTGGTAAAGAAGTCGTGGATGTGGCTGCTGGAAACGATGGTGTCGATGTAGCTGCTGACAACATCACCAAAAACTCTGCCTATGCCTCAGCTGTCCAACTGCCTGGCTCATCCTCTGTTCCTTCGGCGGTTTCTATCCACCGTGGTGAGAAACCTGAAAAGTTCGACGGATCGAACTTTAAAAGGTGGTAGCAAAAAATGCTGTTTTATTTAACAATTTTGAATCTTGCGAGATTCTTGATTGAGGAAGCTCCTAAGTTATCCGATGGAGAAACGGATAAGCAAGCCTTCAACGCTGTTGAAGCATGGAAGCACTCTGACTTCCTGTGTAGGAACTATGTCATGAATGGCTTACATGACTCATTGTGCAATGTCTATTGTGCAAAAAAAGACGGCGAAGGAGTTATGGGAAGCCTTGGACTGGAAATATAAAACAGAGGATGCCGGAGCAAAGAAATTTGTTGTCGGTCGATTCCTCGACTATAAA